TATACCAAGATGTCCAGGAAGAAGGAAAAAAGAGAAAAAAAAGTAGAAATAGGACTATGTCTTCTATTTTAAAACATATCTAAATAAAACTGTTAGATGAAGAAAATAAGTAGGGTTTCAATGTGTTTCATTTTTAGTATGGAATTAAAAACGACTATGAAATGACTGCAAAGACATCTCTATTATAACGGCACTTGGAATTGGTGATTCAGGAATTATTCATCTTGAATATCTTATGGAGTTTTAAAAATTCTTTAATACGCTCTTCCACAGGAGGCTCACACGCCACCGCTTGTGCTGCCGCCATGTCTCTAGTGATCCCTGAAAAGTTCCAGCATATTTTGTGAGTACTCAACACCAACATCGATGGGCGGTGGAAAATAGCCTTTGCCATCACTGCCATTAAGGGTGTGGGCCGAAGATACGCTCGTGGTGTTGAGGAAAGCAGACACTGACTTCACCAAGAGGGCAGGAGAACTCACTGAGGATGAGGTGGAACGTGTGATCACCATTATGCAGAATCCACACCAATATAAGATCCCAGACTGGTTCTTAAACAGACGGAAGGATGTAAAGGATGGAAAATATAGCCAGGTCCTAGCCAATGGTCTGGACAACAAGCTCTGTGAAGACCTGGAGCGACTGAAGAAGATATGGGCCCATAGAGGGCTTCGCCACTTCTGGGGCCTTCATGTCCACGGCCAGCACACCAAGACCACTGGCCGCCGTGGCCGCACCGTGGGTGTATCCAAGAAGAAATAAGTCTGTAGGCCTTGTCTGTTAATAAATAGTTTATATACCGAAAAAAAAAAATTCTTTAATACTATGCCTGAAATTATACTAAGTAAAACACTGAAAAATTAGCAAACATACATAAAGTAGAGCACCTTGATTTAGGATGCCTATTTATTAGGATAAATAGGCATGTTTTGGAGGTATGTACACACAGTAGGTATGTTTTGGAGGACTCATATTGCTTTACCCTCTTCCCTACTGCATCTTGGTGAGGTCTCTGGAGCAAATCAACACAGGTTTAAAACTCAGTAATCCAGTCACAAAGAGAAAGAAAGAAAACACCCCCCATTTAAAGCACCAGGTAGCTAGACCAGTGCTTCCTAAACTGCAGTGTGCACAAGAATTATCATCTTGCAGATTCTGACTCACTGCATTACTTCATCTCTTTTCTTGCCTTGTGCTGGCATCTCTACTATAGTGTAAGCACCTTTATCTCCTCCCTTTAGTTTACTGGTTCTCTGTGGTTTGCTACTAGAACTTGGGACCCATGGCATGGTTCAAATTTCTAAAATCAGTATTCACCTCCATTTTAGATTTCTCTCCAGATAGAGCCCTTTAGCGCTGGTATATCTTCAAAGCTAGCCCTTCCATGCATATCCTCACCTGATCCTCTCTATGGTGGACAGTAAGGCAACAATACAAAGGTGGAAATATCCTCACATTCAGTAGCAGAATGTTGCATTCAAAATGTCATCTGTGGACCAGCAGCCTTTGTGACCTGGAAACTTGATAAAATGTAGACTCTTTAGCACCACCTCACCCTGCTGAATTGGAATCTACCTTTTATCAAGATCTTTAGGTGATTTGAATGCTCATTCAAGTTTGAAAATCGTGGGCCAGGCGTGGTGGCTCACACCTGTAATCCCAGCATTTTGGGAGGCCAAGGTGGGCGGATCGTGAGGTCAGGAATTTGAGGTGGACCTGACCAACGTGGTGAAACCCTATCTCTACTGAAAATAGAAAAATTAGTTGGGCATGGTGGTGCATGCCTGTAATCCCAGCTACTCAGGAGGCTGAGGCAGGAAAATTGCTTGAACCAGGGAGGCAGAGGTTGCAGTGAGCTGAGGTTGTGCCACTGGATTCCAGCCTGGGCGACAGAGCAAGATTCCATCTTAAAAAAGAAGTTCAAAAATCCCTGATTTAAGATGCTTTTAACACAAATAACAGAAAACCCAACTCAAACTGCCTTACATAATACATAGAATGACTTTCAGGTGATCTAATCCAGAGGTCCTTAGGTTATCAGGCCTCTGGAACCAACTCTTTTTGCTTACCTGAGCTTTTTCCTGTAAGCCTACTCCCTCAATATAACTTAATATTATGTTAATAAAACAATACAAAATATAGAATGTGTTCTAATAAGTGTTCAAACAAAAACATATTATCATAGTGCTCTTTGGCCTGTGTCCTAAATTTTGAAATGATCACTCCTTAAAATTGAAGCCCTTGGTTGCAAGTAAAGGTCTGACTCAATATCATTTAAACAATAGGAAATTCATCATCTGTAATATCAGAAAGGGCAGAGGATGGCTCCAAAAATAATATACCAAGGTTCCTCTTCTCTGCAGTCCTCTGGACTCTCCCTGACTCCAATGCCTCAATTTTAAGTGTGCTAGTTAGATGGCTAAAATTCCAGCAATCATATCCAGGCCTCAAAATACCTAAAGACTGAAAGGGTCCATCTATTCCCATGTCTCTTGTTTTAAGAATAGAAAAATCTGTCGTAGTAGAGGTTTCCTTACAACTCAGTGGCCAGAATTGGGTATCACACTCTGACAGAGATCTCTAATTGCTTTTGAACATCCAATTTCCCCACCTTCTTTAGTAATACTCTCCTGGTTTTTATCTGGGCACATCACTGGCCAGGTCTATTTCCTTGCCTCCCTTGAAAGCTACATTTGGTCAGGTGACTAAATTCTGGTGAGTGAAACATATGTAGAAATGTTGTGTAGAACTTCTGGGAAGTATCCTTAAAAGAGGTAGCATTCTCTTTTAATTCCTCTTCTCCCATTCTGATTTCTGGAATGCAAACATGATGGCTTAAGCTTCTGCAATCCTCTTGGATCATGAGAACCAGTGTACACTCAACATCAGGTGGAGCAAAGAACTGGAAGGAGCCTAGGTCCCTGATAAATTCAGGAACCTGCCATAAGAGCCTTATTCTGCCTACCCCCGATAGGTGACAGAATAGAATCTGTGTATTTAATTTACTGTTAATCTGAGTTCTTATTAACTTCTGGTGAATCTAATCCTGACGGATGCACGTGTCTTCATATAGCACCCTCATGATTTTGGCCACATCTTTCTATTATTATCTTATTATTTCTCACCTTCTCTACATTGGCTTTTTCACTTAATTTGAAGAGAATGTTTTATATCATCACTGCTTGACTATAAAATCAGTCCTGCCTGGCAAAAATAGAACTGCAAAAATAAAAACAATGGAAACTTACTGAATTTTAAAAATTGGCAAACAATGTTTCTGTATGACAAAGGCAACAAGCTTATTTGATATGAAATATTAGTTTCAGTAGCTCCTCGGGTGCTCCAGTGGCCTTCCTTTTATTCACTGACAGTATTAGCAGCTTCATTAAGCATTTATCCTAAATCTGCATGCACTTCCCAGGTGGAAGGACTTTCGTCTGTATGTGGTGGTGAGCAATGGAGTTCTATCTGAAGTTATCCACTACATCAGTTGGGAGAAACATGTCTCTAGAGAGAAAAAAAATCAAGACTTTCTTTTACATTTAGTTGGAGTAGTTTTCAAACTTGGTAAGCCTAAAAATCACCCGAGGCATGGGGTAAAATGCATATTCCTGGGTCTTGCCCAGGTCTAGACTAGAGACCGAGGGTCTGGAGTGTAAAAAGTGCCCCAGATGATGCCAATACAAGTAGTTTTCAGACCTTAACTTCGAGAAACGTGAAAAAGCATTCTTTATTACTGTATTCACTCATTCTTCAGTAATTGTCGAGCACCTTCCAGAGTGCTCTGTTAGCCCCTGGTGGGAGGCAAAGGACAGAGGGTTTGTGTGGAGACTCAAGATTCAGTTTTCGTGTCTCAAGGCAGTAGTATCAAACGAGGTGCACTAGCAACGTTATACCCTAGAAGTTTAGGGTTGGAGGGGTCCCTGTGGGCTGCAGTTGGGAGGAGAAGGCTCTGTGGAGCTAGGCTAGAAGGACCTGGAGGTTCTTCTAGAAGGAAGGAGGCTGGAGTCAAGAGTTGCTTAAGCCAAGTCAGCCTAGACTTGAACTTCTAAATGAAAAGGAGTGAAGGCTCTGGTAAAGAGGAGACACATTATTTCGGGGCAGTGAGCTGTTACTCTAGGTCTTCTGCATAGAGAGAGGAGGAAGCTCGGTTTGGGGGAGAGTAATAACCTGGCGTTGATGTTCAGGATGAAGTGGATCTGGCAGCTGCAAAGGCATGGCGACCAGTGTTACCAGCGGTGTGCACTTAAACGACGAGAACGCTGAGGAGTGGCGAGATTATGAAAATACTGAACTCATTTGTAGGCAGAAGGAAGGAGGTGAGAAGTCACCCAAGATGACAGGTGCCCCTGGCAGATGAGAGCACTTTTTAAAGACATCTCCGCAGAGGGAATCCTAGGTAATTCAGCTTCCTGGAACCAGTGCAGGGAATTAAAAGGCAAAGAGGAAGCTGTTTAACGAAGCGGATTAACCCTTTTTAATGTTTCTCTTTCAGTGGAATCACCGTCTTGACACGCTCCCAGCTGCAACTCATTACTTTAACAGTAAAAGCACCACCACCTCAACGCTGGGGCGAATAGGCCCAAGACACGGCCTACTTCTGTGGTGACCCCGAACCTCTCCAGGAGGCCCAGCTCTGTCAAGGAAAGTTGGTTTCCACACTTTGCTGCACAGTGGAGTCACTTGGGGAATAAATAGGCCTGCCCTCCAGGTCTGGAAGCCACTAAGCTAGCCGCCTCGCCGGGGTCCTGAAGCGCCCGCGTCCCTGCGCGCTCAATCCTCAGCCCCAAGGGTGCTCGCGGAGGCCTCCAGCCCTGGCGGCCTGGTCCTGGCGTCCCGCCCTCCCCGTCCCACCCCTACCCACTGTGCCTGGCTCGGGCGCAGGTACCAGCTGAGGGCTGAGGGCCGCGGGCCGGGAGGAGGCGGTGCCGGGGCTTCTCAGGCCAGGGCGCCGCAGAACCGAAAGCAGCGGGGGGCGGGGGGGAGGAAGGAGAGGGCGGGCGCGGGGACGCGAGGGCGAGGCGGCCACGCGGGCCCGGGAATGCCCGCAGCGCGGGGCCCCAGAGCCACCCGGTGGCTGCGTCCGGGAGATGGCTCTCAGCCTGGTCGCCGACTTCGAGCTCGGGAAGGACGTGCTCCCGTGGCTGCGGGCGCAGAGGGCGGCGTCCGAGGCCCGCGGGGCCGGAAGCGGCGGTGCAGGTGCCCGAGGCGCGCGTTGGGGCGGGGTGGGGGCGGGGAGTGGGAGTCCCTCATACCCCCGGGGTCTCTGACCAGGCAGGGAGCAGCCTGGGGCCCCGCCGCCCTGGGAAGGCTGGTGTGAGGGCGCCGCTCGCCTTCTCAAAGGGCTGTTTTGACTTTGCCACCCTCACCCAGCCGCGGGGGAAGCCTGAGACGCCTGGCTTGCTGCCGGCCCGCGGGAATTCGCCCTTGGTAGAAAGGCCGGGACGCTGTTGGTTCCCTCAGCATCACCTCATGGCGAGGGTAGAAGGTCGTGCTCTTGTCAGCGGTCGCCTCCCGCCTCCTGGAGTGTTCATCGGCAGTGCGGGGCTCTGCCAAGACGGGCGGGGGTGGGGTGGACTACTGGAAGATTCTCGTTTTGAGAAAGAATCTGTAGCCATCAAGCAAATCACCTATACCTATCAGTGAAGCAGTTTGTCCCCACATGTGCGAGACGTGTTTCTGCAAACCATGTCCGTGGCTCAGGGGACACGGAGCCCGGCGGTGAGGTGCGACAGGGCAGGGGCCGCCTGCAGGCTGCGCGCGGCGGAGCGAGAGCCCCCAGCCGCCCAGGGCTCCGCACCTGTGCAGGCTGCGGCTGCGCGCTTGTTGCTCGGCTCCTGGCCCGGCCGACTCGGGGAGAATGGGAATCCTCTGCCCGCAGCGGTGGCTTTCTGATGATTCGGTGAGAGAACGAAAGTGACTTTTTAGCCTTCCCAGCACTGATCTATTTTAAAGAAGGGAACTTTGTGATTTCTCACTAAGTTTTTCAAGTTTTCTGTAAATGTTGGCGCCTCAGAGCTTAAATGCAGCTTCAAAGCAATGATGCCTGTGGGTCTCACCTTGTGCGTAGAGCGCTGCCCATTTCAGTGAGTTTCCCCTCTTTTCCCCTTTCGTTTTCCTTTAACTGTAGACTTTGGAGGACGTTTATCCGAAGTGGGTATTAAATTACCTGCATCTACAACTCCTTTACCCTAAATGCTGGTGAAAGTTTTCTTGATGTAAGTTATATATCAAGTTGCTATCTTGTATCTTCACATTCTCCTGTGACTATAGCGGAATTTTTGAGGTTTCCTTGGCTTGGAATGTTAATCATTAGTTTCAAAAAGGAGTTGTATGTTTGTGTAGCATATGCATTGAGTTTGCATTAGTGTCATGATTAGTAAGGCTTTTACTGTTTTTCGAGGTGGGGGATGGTGGTCAAGGAAGAATTTTATACAGAAATTAGCTGGGCGCGGTGGCACATGCCTGTCTGTAATCCTAGCTACTCGGGAGGCTGTGGCAGGAGAATCGCTTGAACCTGGGAGGTGGAGGCTGCAGTGAGCCCAGATTGCGCCACTGCCCTCCAGCCTGGGGAACAGAGTGAGACTCTTTAACAACAACAACAAAAAGTCGCTCAAATGTCTGAAAAGTTTTTGGAGGCTTAACTTTTTGAAACAGCTCTGTCTTGTACCACAAAGTACTCCTTTTTCTGAACTCCCACTTTATTTTGCTAAATGGCAGGTGTCTGCAAATGAGAAGTTAGATGAAGTGTGAAATGCCACAGTCTTATGTTTCAGTAATGTGTGTTGCGCTTGCAAAGCTGTCTGTGACCCACTTGGACCTGGTTTCCTTGTATCTTTCGCTCATCTCTGAAGAAATATAAATTTGTGTATTGACAAAATATAATTTTGTTCCACTAAATAACAGGTAGCCCTGGGTCCTCAGGAGGTAAACTTTCTGGAAATACTAACTTTTCTGATGCTGGCAGTATTTTGCTCTTTCAGAGAAAATATCTTGGCAAGATATTAGCCGTGTTATACTAAGAGAATTATTACCTCTGATTATCACCAGTGGGTGGTAGCTCAAAAATACCCCCACACAAATTAATTCCTGTTCTACTGTAATTTATAGCAGTGGCAGGGAAATCTGGAATTCTGTCTCATTTCTAGCACAGCAGTTACACACATTTGTGCAATTGATTATCCTTTCAAATTTCTAGCTTTTCAAATGTACGTTATGAATAATTATATCATTGTAATGCCGCCTCTATGCATACTTGCTTTCTAAATTTGAAGCCTTAACATTTTTACATCAACAAATACAATTGAAGTTTTCTTAGAGGTGCTAAGTAACTCTCATGAAATATGTATGACACATTCTTGGCAAAACAGAGCTGGGCTAAGTCAGCTGTGGAAATTCTGTGCCTACAATATAACATTTTGGTTAACAAGGGGTCAAGGAGGAAGGAGAAGAGATTTGGCTACTGCATTTGCTTCTGGTTCTGGGGTTGAACAAATGGTTTCTCCTGAAATAAAAGACGATACTTGTTAAAAATCAGAACAACTACATAAAAGAATATTTTAACCTGTAGCTGTAAATAATAAAGCACAACCACATACCCACTCCCCAGCTTAGAAATAGAGCAATGTCAAGACTCTTGAAGGCTCTTATGTGCCCTTTTCTGATTCTATTTTTCTCTCATCCTCACCTCCTAGGTTAGCAACTATTTACATTTTTATATTAACACTACTGTGACTTTATTTGTAGTTTTAACCCATATATATATATCTCCCTAGGCAAAGTATTTTGCTTGGCTGTGAACTTTAAGTAAATGAAAGCATGCTGTATGTATTTTTTATTCTTTTTTTTCTCAATATTGTGAGATTTATCCATGTTGACTGGCTAGCTACAGGTCATTAATTTTCACTTCTATAAAGTGTGCCATCATGTGAATTCAACAAGATGGTGGACGTGGAGATGCACTGCTTAGATTATTCTTTCAAAGAAGAGCTTGTCCCAGGTGCTGTAGTATACTCGGGAGGCAGTCTTCAGCTGTCAGCCCCTTCAGGGATTGCCTGGCAGAGGGCTACCCTACCCTACTTCACTTCCTTTTGGGTGTGGCCCACATGGGATGGAGGGGCTTTAAAGGCCTGACCATTTTGACTTAACATGGGACAACTCCATTTCAGTTCTGAAGCTTCCTCTGTAGGGGACCTAAGGTCACCCAAGGATATTTGGCCTGCATTGCAGCTGGACTTCTCACCCTACCAGGGCTTACTTCCTTTTCCTTCCTCTTTTTTTTGGGGAGTGTGCAGGGAGTCTCACTCTATTGCCCAGGCTGAAGTGCAGTGGCGCAATCTTGGCCCACTGCAACCTCTGCCTCCCAGGTTCAAGTGATTCTTCTGCCTCAGCCTCCTGAGTAGCTGGGACTATAGGCGCATGCCACCACACCCAGCTAATTTTTTATTTTTGGTAGAGGGAGGGTTTCACCATGTTGGCCAGGCTGATCTCGAACTCTTGACCTCAGGTGGTCCACCGATCTCGGCCTCCCAAAGTGCTGGGATTACAGGTGTGAGCCACAGAACCCTGCCCTTTTTCTTTCCTTTTAGAGGTATTAATCCCACTTTCCTGAGCACTCCCTGATGAACATACTGGGTACTAAACTCTGTCTCAGAATGCTTCCTAAGGAACCCAACTTATTTTTCCAGTGGGTGACTTTTGGGGGGTTCCTGGGGTTTACTATATGGTCAATACTCTAACCACCTGGTACACACAGGCATAGGTTTCTCTAGAATGTATGTCTAAAAGTGGAGTTGCTGAGTCATAGGCTGTGCACATCTTCATCTTTCCTGGACAATGCCAAATTGTTTTCCAAAGTGTTGTTCTTATAAACGCCCCTATTTGTGGTGTGGAAACATTTCTGATACTCTCTATCCTCACAAGTCTTTGACAGTTCAAGATATTAAATTTTTTTGTCAAACTGGTAGGACGAATTATTTCATTGTGCTCTGATGTTGAGCATCTCTGGATGTTTACTGACCATTTGAATTTCCCTGTCTGTGAAATGTCTATTCATCCTTTTGTCCACTTTCCTATTTTTTTAATTGATTTTTTTTTTTTGCGGTTATGTTTTTGGGATCCTAGTTCTTTATCATGTGTTGCAAATATTTTTCTCTCAATCTGTGACTTTTGTTTCACTTTGTGATGGTGCCTTTGATAAACAGGAGTTCTTAATTTTAATGTAGTCTAAATTACAGGTTTTTCTTTATAGCTTGTGCCCTTTTAGATATCTTAAAGAAATCCTCCCTATTTTGAAGTCATGAAGACATTTTTAATATTTACTTTTAGAAGCTTTGGGTTTCTTTTTCACATTTTTATTTTAATCCACCTAGAATTTATTTTTATTTATTTATTTATTTTTTTTTTTTGAGACGGAGTTTCACTCATGTTACCCAGGCTGGAGTGCAATGGCGCGATCTCGGCTCACCGCAACCTCCGCCTCCTGGGTTCAGGCAATTCTCCTTCCTCAGCCTCCTGAGTAGCTGGGATTACAGGCACGCACCACCATGCCCAGCTAATGTTTTTGTATTTTTAGTAGAGATGGGGTTTCACCATGTTGACCAGGATGGTCTCGATCTCTTGACCTCGTGATCCACCTGCATCGGCCTCCCAAAGTGCTGGGATTACAGGCTTGAGCCACCGCGCCCGGCTGAATTTATTTTTATGTGATATGTAGGAGTCCAAATGTTTTGAAAAAATTAATAGCTAGTTGTTTCAATATTATTAACCAAATAATATTGGTTATTTTAATTGTTTTAGTTCCTACAACAAAGCTAGTTCTGCCATATCAAGCTTCTTTAGGTAGGTCTCCTTTTCTGAGTTCATTTTGTTCCATTATCTCACCTTGACGTGACAATAATATCTTAATAACAATACTTTATGATAAGTATTGATAACTGGTAGGTAAGTCCCCTTACTTAGTATTCTTCATGAGTGTCTTAGCTATTGTATGCCCTTTTCTTTTTCATATATATTTTTCAATCTGCCTGTCAGATTTCGCCAAAAAGTTGATTTGGATTTCCTATAGTTGCATTGCCTCTATAGATCAGCTTGGGGAGAATAGGTATCTTTACAATACTAGATCTTCCCAACTATGAACAAGATATATCTTGTTATTTATTTAGATCCTTTTTAATGACTCTCAATAAGTCTTAGAATTT